TAATCCATTTCTCTCTCTACTCCAAGATTAAGGAATTAATGACTGCTACAGCTGCTGTCCTTAGCACATTAATTACTGTAAATTGTCTGCAGCCTCAAAAAAAAAACTGACTCACTGACAACGGTAAGAGGGCAAGGATGTACGCAAAGCATTAGGTACCTAAACTAAATAATAAATCACTGTAGCATCAGCCCAAGAAGAGATATACAAGCCTGTGCACTCAGTTTCCACCCACAGGCTAAAGCACAGAGGAAGCAGTGGGGCCGGGTGAGAGTAGGTGAGAGGGGAAATCACATTGTATATACACATCACTTTCTTCAAGGCCCAGAACAGATCAAATATTAAGGAAAACTACTCTCGCAGAGTGGTTCATGAAAGCCTGCATCATTGCAAGCCCTTTTAGGCCATTTTCCAGTATGTTGGCTGTTTTTACATTTCCTAAGATCCTTACAGATGGAACGTAGTGAATAAAGGTATTTGCAATGACTCGTCCACCCTGGTTCCTTGCACCCTGCACTCCAGGTACTCCCAGTTTCCATTCCAGGAGCCCACACCCTGCCCTCCTCAAAATCCTTTCATGTTCCATTTTCTCTCTGTGATGCATCTTCCCCTTTTCTTCTCTTTCTCCATCTAACACTTTCACTAATTCTTAGCCCCAACTCCATGTCCCCTCCTCCTGGAAACTGCTTGAGCTCCCCTAGTTCTTCCTGCATGCTTCCGTGGAACTCTTGTCTTTGTCCCCCAGTGTCACAGTCCCAAAGCTGTGAGTATCCTGAGGGCTGGGCTCCTGTAATTTTTACCAACTCCTTGCTGCTCCTCTCTTCAGGTGTCACCATCCCCCAACCCTACCCTAGCATCTTCCCTTTTCCTTCACAGCCAAACTTCCCTTCTGGGTTCTCACTTCTTCCCCTCCCTTCATTCCTCAACCCTCTATGTTCTACCATCTTTACCCCATTACTCCAGTACAGCCAATCTCTCTAATTCCCAGGGCACACTTTAAATCTATCTTCATGAAAATACCCCAAACTGGAACGCTTACCCTCATCTCTAAGGAATGATCGGACTGTGGCAGTGCTATGTTCCACACAGCCGGAGGCTATCCACTTCTCTCCACCCACAATGCCATGCGCCAATTCAGAACTCCAACACTTCTCACCCAGCTACCTGCAATGCTTCCCAACTGGTCTTCCTGCTTCCAACCTAGTCTCCCTTTACTGCAGCCGGGGTGATCCTTCTTAAAAGCAAATCAGATTAAAGTCCTCCTTTTAATATCTTTCCATATTTTCGCCTCTCTCCTGAGATAAATATCCATTCCTTAACAAGATTCACTAGGCCCTTCATCGTCTCTCTCTCCAGACCCATTAATTATCTCTGCCAGCATTCTGAACTTCACAGATTTCCTCTAGAGCGTCCTGCTTCTTCTTACCACCAGACCTTGCCTATGCTCTTCCCTAATTCTTGTCCAGCTTTCTTAGCCCAGCTAACTCTTCCCTGTCCTTCACTTGCCAGGAATCCTTCTCTGCCTGCCCCAATTCCGACTACATGTCCCGCTCATCCTCCTATGGTACCTCCCCCATCACAGCACTTAACACAACTTAGTAACTGCCTGTTTTCTGCTTGGTATTCTACTTTTCTGCAAAGAGTAGAGATGCCTGCAAGCCAGACCAAGCAGAGAGAGATTTATTGTAAGGATGCAGAGGGCCTCACAAGCACCTGAGAAAATGAGCTTCACAGGAGCAGGAACATAAAAGCCATCAGAAATGGAGGCCCTTCTTTCCATCTCCCACCTCAGAGACCTAAGGTCACAGCATCATTGCGCCTGTCTGTACATCACTCCATCCTTTCTCTCTCTCTGCCAGATTTCCCTACTTCCGCTTAGTCCACGAGGCTATCCCAGCCTGCATTATATTACCCAGTTCTCAAGGTCACCTTTTATCTTCTGCCTCTGGTGCCAACAGGTATAATGTCTCAGCTTCCGGATTCCAAGTTCCTGAAGGATGAGTTTGATTGGTCCCTCTCATCTCATGGTGTTCCACCACTTGTGTCTTGTTTCCTGGCCAGTCTAAAGAGGTCTGCTTTGACTCGGGTCTAATCAGCTTTACACGAGAAAGGTGGGGGTTATGGTATAGAACACAGCTGTGCTCACTAATATGGTTTGGCTGTGTCCCCATCCAAATTCATCTCGAATTTGTAATCTGAATTGTAATCCCCACGTATCAGGGGAGGGACCTGGTGGGAGGTGATTGGATCACGGGGGCGGTTTCCTCCATGCTGTTCTTGGTTCTTGTGATAGTGAGTTATCAGGAGAGTTGGTGATTTTATAAGTGGCGGTTTTCTTCTCCTATTCCCTCTCCACCTGCCACCTGCTACCATTAAGATGTGCTGGTTTCCTCTTCCACCATTAAGATGTGCTGGTTTCCTCTTCCACCATGATTGTAAGTTTTCTGAGGCCTCCCCAGCCATGCAGAACTGTAAGTCAATTAAACCTCTTTTTGTTATAAATTACCCAGCCTCAGGTAGTTCTTTATAGTATGTGAAAACAGACTAATACACACCCTTAGCAGAGCTTTGGGGTAGAGTCATAAATAACAGGAGCCTTAGAGACACCGGGAGACACTGCTACATTATGTCCTCTAACAGGTGACCAAGCCTTTTATTGTTATGTACTTATTGCCTAGCAAAAGGTCAGGCACAAGGAAATGTGCTGAGCAATGGCTGAACCAACATTTTCAGAACTCTCTATTCTAGAAGACCCATTTAGAGATCTTATTTTTCCATCAAACCAGGCAGGGTAAGCAAGTTCTTGATCCCCATTTAACAAGAAAATAGCTGTTTTTTCTTAAAGGGAGTTGCCTGGATAATAAATGTTTTCTGACTCTTCACTTAGAGTCGAACCTATCACTTAACTGATAACAGCTTCTAGATGCTTTAACCAAAACAGCAATAATCTTTTGTAGCTTCAGCCTGCTTATTTGACCTCTGCTTAAAATAATTGCTGAATTGGGCTTTAAAAGTCTAGAAGGAAATCAGATTAAAAGTATAAAGAGGATTAATGCAATATTTTACATCAGTGTAATAAGAAGTGCCTCAAGATCCTGCCCAATTTGCAGTTCACCTCTAGACTCAGCAGAACCATAAGCCACAGAGTCCACAGGGCACCAAGCATAGTTTCTGACTTAGGGCAGGCATGAAAAGCTCTATCTTAAGTCAGATCTTTTTAGTACAATCAGGGTTTTCTCTACTTATTTTGATTTGAGAATGCTCTCTCTCTTTCCCTCCCTCTCTCTCTTCCCCAGTATTTGTCTTTCAATATTAAGACCAGCCATCTATTTTATTTCCAAAACTTATCTTCAACTAAAGAAGAATGCCTTTATGAATGGATATGCTCATTTGTAAATAATAATAATAATACTTAGAGGTCTATTAACCTGAAAAAAACCACAAGTAGACTTCACAGGCACTGAAAGTGAGACTGTAGTGCTCCAGTGTTGGGCAGCTCTCACCAACCAGCCACATTCCCTTTGTCCTTCAGCCCCAGCCATTGAAGCCTGCAGAATATCAGATTATTCCTCAGACTGGCATCAGCATCACCCAAAGAACTTGATGAATATGCATATTTCTGGAGCTTACCTCACGGACTGAAACAGAATCTCCAAGAGTGAGGAAAAGCTGGAGTGCAGTGATGTGGTCTCAGCTCATTGCAACCTCAATCTCCTGGGCTCAAGTGATCCTCCCACCTCAGTCTCCCAGGTACCTAGGACTGCAAGCACATGCCACCATGCCCAGCTAATTTTTGGTAGAGACAGGGTTTTGCCATGTTGCCCAGGCTGGTCTTGAACCCTTGAGCTCAAGCAATCAGGGAATAAATTTTTAATGAGCACTTGGATGATACTTATCATCTTACAAGTTTGAAAACACTGACCCACATTATCTCAGTTGGCTCTTCTCAAAGCGTGTTTCATTAAGGTAGGGGTTCTTACCCTGGCTGTACAGTGGAGTAATTTAGGAAGCTTCTTACATAAGCCAATGCCCACCCACACCATCGTTTTAATGCAAATCTGCAGCCATAAATGACAGCCACTGGTGCAACACCAGCTCTGCAAGATACCCCATGAAAAACCAAGGGTTCTCAAGCAGAAGAATTTTAGAAGGTGCTGGTCTTTAACCCCTCTTTTTGATTCACAGTAGAAATGGTCACAGTAAAGACTGGAAGTCCTACAGCAAAAAAGTCAAATGTAATTTTATTTATATTTGTTTAGATGTACTTAAATCTGTGCTCCAAATGTAATTGCCTGCAAAGAGAACTTGTTTTGTTGATTTGCTTGTTTGGTGACTGGGTGGTTGGTTTTTACATACTATGAATGAGAATCCTGCATAGTAGGAATGTACTTAAATAAAGCCTGTTGCCCTGTTTTCTGAGTGAAGAACTAGCCTAGATGTTCCAATTTAGTTTGCGTGGCAACTCCTGTATTCTGCTTCCATTTAGCTCCTCATTTCTGATTCTATTTACAGTTTACTGTTTATTTCATTTCTATCTCTGGATTTTGTATTGGCACTGACTCACTACACTTGATTATAGGTTTCCCTTGAGGAACTTGACAAAGACAAACCTTTTTTACCCCTTTCCTTTCATGCATCCTGATTTAGGGCAGCCTGAATGAACTAATTCAGCCCAAATGCAATGCCATGTCTTTAAGTTTTATGCAAATATGTCATATTCACAGTTTTTAATACAATGACATCCAGGTTATCAACTCCAAAGAGGAGTGGGATAGAAAATGGGACCATAATGACCATGCAAACGCTGGAGCTGATCCAGGGTTGGGTCCCCATGGCAGGAACATTAACATAGGAGGGAGGGTCAGCCACCCTTACTATGTATGCTCACACTTCCCATAGTCTGGACAATTTCCTGGGGAAGAGTAAAAGTAAACCATTAAAATACTTGAAGAAAATACAGTGAAAAATAATGGACTCTCAGAAAAAAAAAAAAAGAGAGAGAAATAAAAAGGAACTTTATTTGACATTAAGTTTCTCTTCCATTTATATAGTAGAAATCATCCTTCTGGCTGGCACTAACACTGTAGCGGGACTTCCCCCACAGCAGCACTGTTGACATGTTTGGCTGGTTAATGACTTGTTGCGGATGCTCCTATGCCCTGTAGGATGTTTAGCAGCATCCTGTTTTCTACCTGCCGGACACCGGTAGCATCCCCCGCCACCACTGCCCACTCAGCTGTAGCCATCACAAATGTCTCAAGACACTGCCAAACATCCATTGGAGGCAAATCCCCCAGATTAAAGACCACTGCTCTAAACATAATTTCTATATATAAAACATTGTGAAACCAAGACTCAGTGGGAGAAATAAAAAGTTAAATCACAAATTATTTTCTAGATGATTTAACTTTAATTATATAACAAAATATGGATAAATATTTTTCTAAAAGTTTCCTCAAGGTTTGTATTTCCCATAACAGTGTTAATCATACTCTTTTTTAACTCTCCAGGGAATCAGAGCAGAGGTATGGAGGGCAGTGTTTACATAGAAATGCAAATTTTTAAGTAGAGCCTAGAATTTTTAATTACCAAGAAAGTTGGGGAATTGTGATTTTGCTCTATGAAAGTTTAAAATATTTCATGTTAATTAAAAATAGCCCCAATAAAAAAGGAAATAAGAGGAAAAATTCAAAATACATGTAACAAAGATTAATGTTCAAGATGTGAAGAATCTACCAAATTAATTCTGTTAAAAAAAAATAAAAACACTGAAATTGCAATAGATAAGTGACCAAAGACACACACAAATAATTCACAAAGAGAACACTCAACAAGTGAACAATAATGAGCATTAGAAAATTGTTAGCCTCACTAGAAATCAAAGAAAACTAAATTAAACCCAATTTTTGCCTATAAAATTAGTCTCTTTTTAATTAAGGAGATTCTGCACTGATAAATGGGAGATGAAAAAGACACTCATACACTGATAAAAGTTTTTTAAATTAATTTGGCAAAATTATGAGCCTTAAAAACATTCACTTTGCATAATCTATTCTAAGAAATTAATCCTAATTACTGGAAAAGCTCAAAGATGCTCATTATAGCATATTCTAAGAAAATGAAAAATTGAATATCACCTGGATGCCCAATAAATAATTTATGTTGCAGAGGTTACATTGTAGCAATTAAATGTAGTATTATGAAGCCATTAAAAAGTTGCTAAAAAACAGGTACTCAAAATCGTATATTAAAGGGGGCTGGATAGTTACCAACTGAAAGGGTGACCTTAGTTACCTTTGAGTATCTGTAATATGGGAAAAATTTTCACTCCTTCTATTTTATATTTCTGAACTTTTTGTAATGAGTGTGTATTACTTCTACAATGGAAAAAGTAAACTCCATAGAAAAATGATTCACTTTTCTTAAAGTGCATCGCTGTATAGTGAGGCAGTAAAATGAGCTGGCTTCTCAGTCATGTTTTCTCCTGATTGAGCTATTTTGAAAACACTCTCCTCATATAAAAGATGATTGAAGCCAAGGAAACCTAATCTGTTCTAATTTCAGGGTCATCAACCTCAGCCACATAAACAACCAGGGGAAGATGGATTCTGGAATACACTTAAGCCTTAAGACATGATTTTTCTCCTTTCCCTATGCACATTTTTTAACTGAATATATGAAACAGCATCTTCTCTACATAGCAAAAGAAAATCACAAACAGGGAGAAGTAACATCAAGTCCACTCATTTACCTAGGTAACTTTAAAAATCAATAAGTAATGAATATTCAGCATCTGTCTTTCCTCATTATTAAAAGTCTCATCGATAATATTTATTGAGTATTCCTCTGTTCCCTTATCATACCAATTCATGAAACATAAGAAAAAACAAAAGACATCAAAAGATCTCAATTCTGAAATCATCAAATAAAGAGGAAATACAAAAGATAGATTAGATAGAGAATCATTATTTCCTAAAAATTTAAGACAAAAATTCACAGACTTTAGGAACTGGAAGTTACTTTAAATTTAACTAGTCCTACTTTATTTTGTATAGGCTTTCATGTCAAAATAAAGAGGAATGCTATAGAGGACACCGTATGTGGATGTCAAGGCAAGCTGCAATAGTGGGGAGATCCTTAGAATCAGAGTCTTGGATCAAATTAAGGGATTAAATTAAATTAAGCAACTAAAATGCCAGTATTGTGCCTTTAGTCATCGAAAGTAGGATTCCTTTCTACATCCTGATGGAAGGCGGCCAGCCTGATGCAGTCACTCAGGTTCTTTGTTTGTGTATTTGTTTTTATTTGGGAACTGGACATAGGGTGGGAAATGTCACATGGGGCTAAATGCTCAGGTTCTTCTAGGCAGGCCACCCCCTTAAGAATAATCACTGATGCCTTCACTCATCTCTGTATCATATTCCAGGGTCATCTAAATTTTGCCTGGAAAATACCTCTTGCATTCGTCTCACCCTTTCTATTTCCATCAATCCAGATAGAAATAGTAAGAAAATCACGGCATTAATTGAGTCTGAAAATGAGCTCGGCTAAGATGGTGGCAAAGAGAACAAAGAGGATGGGTAGAGATGAGCTATGCCTAAAAAATAGGAAAGGCAGGAACTGATGACTGACTAGATGTAAACATGATGCCCATGTTTTCTGAACCAAAACCAAGTGGGATACATGGCCTGACAATCATGAAGGTACTTCTGAGTTCAATGGGGCAGGATACTTGCCCTCAGGACCAACTCAGAAAATCCACTTAGAGGGACTTTTTAAAAGTGAGCATGACTGGGAGTTATAGAATGGGAGTCAGGATGAAAGAGTGGGGAGAGTCAGGCAATAGGTAGAAAAGGAAGCCCTCTTTACGCTTTAAGTACTACGTTATTTTCTTTTTCTATTCAAGCATGTTCTCTTCTGCTGGAGAATGCTTTGTTAAACTGATCTGAGGTCATTTCCATCCTCATGAGAAATCTGATGCAGTATTTCATCCTAAACATTATAAAGCTTGGCATTAAAAGCTTCCCCAAGTCTATTTTCCCCTGGAGTCAGGTACCGTTTGTCATTTGCTCACACATTCCTTCTGGCAGACTGCTTTACGATGATTCCCATGGGCAGCTATGGGGCTGGAGAGCATCCTTCACACATGACTTCCCACTGAGTCCGGAGGCCGATGGGCATAAGTTGAAAACCAACTCACCCCGTTTATTGATGAATTCTCCCATTTGGGACATGTATGTGTTGTCTTCTCTTCATGTTGTTCACCTGGGTTTATAATGTGCCACCAAAACTCAGAAAAACAAAACTTGAAACCTGAGAATAAGTTTTATGTTAGAGTGTTCATCTTGATGAATCCAAGTATTTATTGTTCTTTTGGGGAGCTTGCTCAAGCCTATGTTCCAGAAAGTCGGGAAGTAGTCAGTATATTCTCAGAGTGAAGACAGAAGGATTGTGAAAAAGTGATATGAGCAGTATTTAAGCATGAACATGGTGAACACATTTTCTGAAACAAAAAAAAATGTGATTTATGGTCTGAAGAACATTTTAATAGTCAATAAAATGGAGGCCAGGAGAAAAATATCTTTGAAAGTAGGACTGAAAAATCCAAGATATTGGTCTCTATAGCTATAGAGTCACATAGAGAACAGTCTATTTTAAATTTGATAAAAGGATGTTTTAAAGTCCTAAGTTATTAAATATAGAAGGAATAAGGGCAAAAGAGGTAATATCAGAATGTATATTTCATCTTAATTAAGTTGGCAAACCACCAACTATCTGTTTTTGTAAATATGGTATGTGGTCTAGAAGAGGAATTTTTGGTCCATAACATAGCTCTCTAATAGACTTTTAAACTGCACCCTAAAATAAGTATTGAATGTAAAGCCTTTTGGGAGTTGTGGACAGTGTCTAGAGTATACATTTTCTCACCTTGTGACAGGGAGGAATAGGAGTAGATTGTTATAGAGAGACGCTAAAAACAAAGCCCCTAAAATAGCAGTTTTATAGTCTTGTGGTCTTGACAGTGGTCTGTTTCACCCTTAGAATGAATGCCTAGAAGCCATTACAGTTAATGGGGCAAGCTGTGAAGCTAGAAGCAAACAGAGTTCTGAACACAACTTTTCCGCTCGTGTTTCTGAATATGAGATGAAGTTTCTGGTATCTACTAATGTTATTGATCAAACCATGATGCTTTTATGTCTCCAAGTACATTTATGCTTAAAAGTTTTTTCTTTTAAATAAAGATTTTCTGTACCTTATGGCTCCCTCATATGTAGCAGAAATTTTTTCTCACTTAAAGGGCAACCATGATGTGGAAAAGGCTCTCTTTCTGGGCAGCCAAAAGGGGATTCCTGAACCACTGTAACAGGCTTTTGCGGTAGGTAAAAACCTACCTGCATGACCTTTAACATGTTTCTTTCTGAATGCTACCCTCAGGGGTGATGGGCTTTTCCTAAGGAGAGGGTAAACCCAGCAGCAGGGCTCCCACATCCACAGCCCTGGTGGACATCTAGAATTCCATGGTCAGTGTTTGGGTACCATCTTGTTCCTGGACCAAACTGAGGGTTGAGCTGCTATTTTCTCACGGCCCAATAATGAGACGCAGATGAACTGGGGAGGAAGAGTTTTACTTTCTGCAACCGGTTACAGGGAGAAGGCCTAGAAATTATCACCAGACCAACTCAAAATGACGGTTTTCCAGAGCTTATATACCTTCTAAGTTATATGTCTACGTGTAAGTGTACATTCACCTAAAGACGTAAATGATTAACTTCTTTTAATCTGTAACTAAGGTCTGAGTCCTGACGACCTTCCTCTGGGGCCTCAGTAAATTTACTTACTCTAACTGGGTCCAGATGCTGGGGTGATGACCCTTATCTTGTCTCTTGCTAAATCACAGAGGTTGGAGGAGTTCCTTCAGACCCCCAATAAACTTGTTTGTGGAGGCCTGGGGAGTTTCTTCCGTCCCACAGTAAAACCTGTTTGATCCTAAATGAGTCCTGTTAAGAATTACTTTGTTATTTTGTCATGCTTTAAGGCTCAGAAAAGAGCTAGGCAAAACTCTTGATGGACTTCTGTTACATCCCAGCCTTTGTATAAGGGCACTGGCTTTTAATATTTAATCATTCAGTCAGTACTGAAACAGCTGCTAGTGAGACCTGGCCTGCCACAATCTTAGTCTGTTCTGGCTGCTATCTCAAAATTCCTGGGACTGGGTCATTTATAAGGACAGTAAATTATTTCTGACATTTCTGGAGGTTGGAAAGTCCAGGATCGAGGCACTGACAGATCCCATGTCTGTGGAGGGTTGCTCTCTGCCTCCAAGATGCTACCTTCTTGCTACATCCTCATATTGCAGAAGACATGGAAGGGCAAAAGGCTTCAGCTAGTTTCTTCAAGTCTTTTTATAAGGGTACTAATCCCATTCATGAGCTGGAGCTGTCCTAAAGTGTTCACCACTTAATACTATCACATTGGGTCTTAGAGTCCAACACAGGAATTATGAGAGAACACATACATTCAAACCATAGCAGGTGCAGAGTCTTGCACACTTAACCCACATACAATCAATGATCTCATAATTTCAAAGAAATGAAAATACACTACTCACCTTAGGGTGAGGAAATAAAGAACAGATTGCAGACCTAGAGTAGCCCATTTCCAAAGGGAGACTACGATACTTCCTGAAGACCAGATTCATCCAAGCTCCAGGAAAAAAACAGCCATATTTTCAAGGTGTCAAAATGTTATGCAAGATTCTAGGAGACAAGGCTAATGTCACTCAGTACCGCAACCATCAGAGTTGTGTACACACACAGACAGCTTTGTTTTTTACTTGTTGAGTTCAAACATAGCCAATATAGCATATTCTGGAAACCTTGCCCCAGGGCTTAGGTCGGTCTTTAAATTATCATGAATATAAACATCAATCGGTATTACCTTTCTGGAGGACAATGTAGTAATACCTTTCATAAGCCTTTGAAGTATGGGTATATATTCTTGGACTCAGCAAGTTCCCAACTAGGAATTACTCCTAAAAATTAAAATCATTAATTTATATAAAGATTTAGCTACAAAGATGTTCATTCTATATTTGTTTATAGTAAGTAAAACTGGGAACAACCAGATGTCCAGCACCAGGGGACTGAATAAATAAATTCCAGTATATTGGTATGAAATGCTATGCACCATCGAAAACTAGTACTATGGAAGTTTATTTAATGACACTGGCTCATGCCTGTAATCCCAGCACTTTGGGAGACCGAGGCACGCAGATCACTCGAGGCCAGGAGTTCAAGACCAGCCTGGCTAACATGGTAAAACCCCCAATTCTACTAAAAAATACAAAAATTAGCTGAGTGTGTTGGCATGCACTTGTAATCCCAGCTACTCAAGAGGCTGAGATATGAAAATAGCTTGAACACGGGATGTGGAGGTTGCAGTGAGCCTAGATGGTGCCACTGCACCCCAGCCTAAGTGACAGAGCTGGACACTGTCTCAAAAAACAATAATAATAGTAATAATAATAATAATGACATTATATGTTAACTAAAAAGAAAGATTATAAAACAATCTGAACAGTATGTTACAGTATATTCCCTTTGGGGAAGGTATCATAAAAATGTAAATAAGCAACATTATGAAAATCAAGATCTTTGTCACCCTGTTAACGTTTTGATGTGGCGTCTAAAGTTTGTACAGTGAATATGTGCTATCTAAAATAAGAAAACAAAGTTTTAAATTACTACTTTTAAATTTCAAGCAATTAAATATTCCTCAGTATTAATTATCAGCAGAACTATTGGGGGAAAAAAGAAGGAAGGGAGAAAAGAATTAACATGAATTGTTTTTGCATATCATTTTTTATTCAATTTTGTTTAAATGTAGGATCAACTTAAATTGTTCCCTTTTGGTAGATATAGAAGATATTAGAATGTATATTTTTTACTGAAAAAACACGGGGAGATGCCTTGCTTTTTCTCTGAATTCTTTATCGTTAAAACCCTATGATTAAGATTGCTGCTTCTGTTTACCAAACTGAATGAATTCTAAAGTTATTTTTTTTCAAGGTGAAGGTGTTAATTTGCATTACCTCTGATTACTCATTCAAAAGAGTGAGCCAGGTTGCATCTGCTATATATTATGCAGTGAACTGTTGATTATCTGTGGAGACAAGGACAGTATAAATAATAAAAATCCATAGAGAATGCCCAAACTTCATTTTAGCCAGAAGTGTCAACAGTTTGCCAGAGTTGTTAGCAAGGAACAAAGCTGATTTGAGTTTTATCTCCTAACTCCCTTCCATATGCTTGAGGATTATGCTAATAAGTTAAATGACCAGCAGCAGAGGCACCCCTGGGTAATTCCTAGTCAGGAGAATTGGTTTCTGATTAATCAAGATTTGGCTATGTTGAAGCACGGACATACAACTGTCTCCCAATAAATAGCCTAAACATTCTTTAAATATTCATTGTCTAAAAAATTTCCCTTACTTTAACAACATGTTTACCAGAGTTTATTTTGCCTATGAAGCACAAACACTGTCACACCCCATTTCTGCCCTACCTGAACTGTTCATACACAGAATGAATGGTGAACCCATTTCTCTTTGTCATACTATCCTACCAAGATATCAAATTTAAATTTCTAAATATGTGTTATTTATGAAAATGGCAATTCCATATATCAGATCAATCTATTTTGGCAATATGTGATTAACCTAAAATTCCATAGCCTAAAATTATGACGGTTCTGAAACTTGGAAGGAAAATGCATCCTTCTGTAACCTTTCTTTCATCAGTAAAACCTACAAAAATGCTACACTCCCACATATTTACACACATACATAAACCCTAGCAATGCCCATAATCTAATTTAACAGATGCCTTTGCCACTCCATATGTCCACATATCTCATTTGAAATTTGAAACTAAGAAAGTGAAGATAGGGCTTTTCGGACCTTATGAGAAATATCGTTTCTCTAAAACTGCTTTTCTTCAGTGAAGTATCATAAATTGACCAAGAGGGATGTTAACTGCATTAACTTTTTAAGATTCTTTCAAGCCTCTGTCTTTTGTGAAATAACTATAAATTTAGGTTGGTGGTTCAAATGGCTTTTCCCCTCACAACAAATATGAATAAGATAAATCGTAGTAAAACTCTTTTATGCTTTATTGAATAACAGCCAGTAATAAGACAAGCTCAGACAGCAGACTCTAATATCAGATGCATGGCATAGCTTTAAATATCTTCTATTGCACTGGATAGCAGATTAAAATCGGTCCCTTTACTAGGAGATTCAAATTGCCTCTTCTAGACTTTTCGACAAGAACTTTTTGGTCTTTCCTTTTGCAAAGTGATAAGACTTTCTCTGCCTACTTTGTATACGATTCATGTTTTCCTCTGAGAAAACTTTCCATTTTCACCACAACCTAAGAAAATATTAGCTATTTTCTGAAAAGAAGCTGATTCATGATTTGCTAGCTTTCAACAATATAACTATCTCTTTATTGTGAATTTTGCAAGTCACTGTCACTGAGTTAAAAGACAAACCCAAGTTATCATCCTTAGTGACTCTATTGTTTTAAGTTCAGGAAAACTTCTCAAATTCATAGCAGGAGAAGGAATTAACAAGTTTGCAAAAGTAAATCTTTTTTGGCCTATATGTTTGCTCTCTGACACAGGTTTTTTTGCTTAAATAATTGGGCGTTTTCCCCAGAGTCTGAAGGGATAGTGGCTTTCTTCTGTGTATATGATTGTTTCAAATTCAACCTCATATTCACATCTTCAGTGTCTTCCCTCAGAAGGCACAAGATAGGAGAACCCACACACTAAAACATTACGTAAGATTTCTAACATTCACTTCCAGATCTGAAGGTAATTTTTCCCCACATTTTATTACATTTATAAAAAATGTCAAATTCCTACCTAGAAACAATCCAATTAGACTTACTGCCATTTGCCATAAATTCAGTTTAAACATTTCTTGATCTTTCAAGACCTCAAAATGTTCCTGTTATTTTTCAAAACTAAACATTTCAAGAAGTGGAGTAAAAAAAAAAATACCATCCACCTAAATATGAACGAAGGTGCTATATATAGACCACATATTCATCAGGCATTCAATAATCGCTTACTTTAAGTAAAACAAATTCTAGTGGTAATGATAGGGAAAATTATGCCTTCTATGATAAAAATATGATGCCATTTTATGACGCAAATTTTTCCAGAATTGGCAATGTTCTTTTTTCACTTTTATTTTTTAACACTTCCCTTACTCTTCTACCTCATTTCAACTTGTTGGCAGTAGTCTTGGACAGTGAAAGGTTTAACTCCAAAGGGAACACATATACCTACGCCAGAATCAACCTGAACTTAGTGCTAAGCTAAGGATTGATTCTCTGTCTCACACACAGGCATTCCTTTTTTACCTTGTTCCAAAAATTAACTTCCGATTGCTTTTTCTCCATCATGTGAAAGAGGGGCCAGGATGGAGAACTATGTTGATTCGCCTAACAACCAACATTTGTGAAGTCATTAACAATGAGGGCACCGCAATGTTAGGCAGTTTAAAAACAAAAAGAAGGCCGGGCGCGGTGGCTCGAGCCTGTAATCCCAGCTACTCGGGAGGCTGAGGCAGGAGAATTGCCTGAACCCAGGAGGCGGAGATTGCGGTGAGCCGAGATCGCGCCATTGCACTCCAGCCTGGGTAACAAGAGCGAAACTCCGTCTCAAAAAAAAAAAAAAAAAAAAAAGAAAACAAACTGAAAATCTGGTATTTGTGCGTCTCATACTGATTTTTATGAAGAAGTTAAGAATTATCATTTTAAAGAATGAATGAATCAAATGCGTTTTGTGAGTTTTTCTAAAAAGTCTATTTATGCAACTAAACATTACCTTAGGTTAAACATCTACTGCTTCTCTAGCTGTTATGTAAAGCTAAACTCATTTATATTGCATAGTCTTATTTAAAACCAAAGCATTAAACTAAACTGTTCTTTATCTGCTGTTTTTAAAAAATCAAAAAATGTCCAGAGTAAAGAGAATTTCATAGACTATAAGAAATATTTCCCTTTAAAGGCTGTGTCATAGAGGCAGAGAAATGGTCTGCTAACTTCGTTTGCATTCACCATTTGGAAAATGCAAACCAAGTAGAATCTGGTTTTCCTTTAACAGCCAAACTTTGAAGCCTGAGATATCTAAATAACGACATTCTGCTTTGCTTTACATGCAAGACTGACTGAAACACCTTAAGAATTTATCTTTCTTCTTTCCTCCACAAGTAATCTTCTCAAAAGAAAAATCCAAAGAATTTTCTCTGCTGCCCTTTCAATCTTACGTGCTTGACAACCTGGCTTCCACCCCTACCACTCTCTTCAACTCCCCTCATTAATGTTACCAGGGGCCACCTAATTGCTAAACCTTGTGAAGACCTTTCAGTCCTCATCCTACTTCCATATGCAGACCCTTTTCCCTATCACTCATCCCTCAAGATACAGAAGGATGACCTCTCCCATGAAGCCTTACCAACCCACATCCCAGCTGGTGGGTGATCTTAGGCATCTCATCCACCATTCTCCAGGAGCACCTTTACATGTTCTATGAGAGCACTTACTATGCAGAAAGGTACCCATTTGTTTGTCTCCCTCCCTGTGAGCAATCCAAGTGCAGAGAGTTTTAATCTTATTTATCTTTCTACCCACATTGTCTAACCAGTGTCTAGACCTGGCTGGCAAATGATGCCATTTTTTCAATTTCAGAAAGTAATACAGAAAACCCTGGCAGCACTGCATAGTAGTTATTCTTCATGGCATTAAGACAGAGTTTTGCCTAATTTCTTTCGAGGCACACTTCAGCAAAGTTTTCCTGCATGCATTCCTCATCCCAAGCAAAAAGGATTCTATTTCAAAACACTGTGTCTTTTGTCATCAAACATCCCAACGCTTCTTTTGTACCTTAAATGGAATCTGAGCAGAAGTAGGGTGTGTGGTAGCAAGGGGAGATGGAGGGTGGCAGAAACTTAAAAAAATTCTGAAATAAATCCATGTTTCCTGCCTCTTTCCCCTTCTCTGTGCATTTTCTTCTCTTTCAGAAGCACCGACACCTCCTCCTAGCCATCTAATCAAGACAAATCTTTCATGTGGTAATTAAAATACAGCTCATCTTCAGAGGGAACAGCAAAACAAAGGCTGAAACAATTAGCTGACTGTGCCAAACAGCATGGTTCGCCTCCTCCGGCCCACACCTCTCCCTCTCATCCCTATTCTTTCAATTGCTTGCTTTTAAGTACTGTTTTTTTCACAGGAAGAAAAAATTCCATTCCTGCCGAAAGGTAAGAAACTGAATGGATACTTAGACTAGGAAATAGTTTAATTGAATCTCATATGAAATATCTTAGGACTGTTTAAGACAAACGTTGTGTTCCCGCTCAACCGGAATTGAATTAGGTAAGAAAGGGAGCCAGAGATACTTGCTGATCTGTTACCATCAGGTTAGAACAGAATATTGCATTAGCATGCAAAAGGACACAGGCCAGCAATACAGGGAAAGACAAGTTTTCCCAGAATGAAGACTGCAGAGTAGAGAGGTAAATTGTACTAGTAATAATTCAGAAGGTAGAAAAATGAACTTGCACCTCATAAGGCTGTGTGTGCCTTGATTACGTTAGCACTACTTGCGATATTAAACAGTATATTCATTTTTATTGTATTAGTTTTTTAATAGTCTGTAAAAGCCCGGTGTTTTATTTAGCTCTCTGAGCCACCTGTCTTTTCTACAACATCCCCTACCAGCACATTCAAGCATTAGCGTTCAGGATTTCTAAAATCTTTTAACCATTGATGGCTGCCAGCAGTCAAATTAAATTCAAAGGGTTTAGTATAGCTTCAGGTTTTAGCTATATAATTTACTAAGAATGCCCAAAGCACTTGCAATCTAATTTGCAGTTCAGCAATGAATACTATTTCCTAACGAAATCTGCCTGAAATTTCCTTTTAAGGCTCCAGAAAAAAATACACTTGTGACACCTGTGTGTCTTCCTTCTGGCACTGACTCAAAAAAAAAAAAAGAAAGAAATCCAAAAAAGGATGATATACCTTATGCAAGGTGTAAAATAAAAGGAACCAAGAGAATGAATTTGTTTTTATTGCTAGGTAATGTGGGCCAGTGGATTTATTACATGCTTCCTTTTTAAATTTAGGTTATTATTCTATTTCTTCTATGTCCAATATTAGTCCTGTATTTGTTATGACTTCACTAACAATCATCATAGGCTTAACCAAAATCTTGGATTTCTGAAAAATTACTAAATAAGAACCGCTATAGGAAACCCCAGATTTGATCATTTCCATATCCTTATGGAAGTAAACTTAGTCTATTTTCTGTAAGAAACAAGTGTGTCAGTTCCTAATCCTACTGTCAATTTCATTTCTATTTCTTAGTCCCAAAGGGCCATTGCTTACAGTGTCCTTATAGAAGGACATTTTACCCTTATAGATGGGAAATAAGGCCAAAAGTGACTGTTAAAAGTCTACAACTTAAGGAGGCTGAGGCAGGAGAATTGCCTGAACCTAGGAGGCGGAGATTGCGGTGAGCCGAGATCGCGCCATTGCACTCCAGCCTGGGTAACAAGAGCAAAACTCCATTTCAAAAAAAAAAAAAAAAAGTCTACAGCTTATTGTTTGTCTTATAAAAAAGATTTCCCTCTTTTACCTAGATTACTTTTACTTAGATTAAATAAGGCATGAGGAATGCTTGAAAACTGTTTTGAGAATCTTCTGTGAAAGCTGAAAACATAAAATGTAATCTTTTACTTTTAGATTTCATCTTCTCTCTTCCTGACATAGGAATTCTGATCCCTAGCCATAAGGGCAAAATGGTGAAGGGCAATACAGCTACCAATTGCCAGGTAAAATCTGAACTCTTATGAGCTTTCCTTACCACAGAGATGGTACTCACCACTAAGGAGGCCATAGAAATCAAATCATCTGGCTGAATTAATTTAATTAATAAAAGGCATAATTCGGAAGCTCATTAGAGAAGTCGGAGATGCTAGCTATACCCACACAGAGTTAATCACTCACCATCAAGCCAACTAAATGTAACTCTAGAAATCAAAGCATTAAAGTATAAATTGGAAAGAGCCAAGTTCCTAATGACACTAATGATCTAAATCTGGTTGTTGATCTTGCTTCTTTCATTTCCCACTCAATAAGCCCCTTTGTACCTTATAATAAACTCTATACTAGAAAATGCTAATGGAGCAGCATTTTTAATATTTTTAAAGCCTACCAAAATATCAGCCCTTGAAGGAAAAACTGAGTCATTCCCAAGAAAAAGGGAGCAGAAAGCTCCATCTGTCTCAGTGCCTGCTCCCCCAGGTCGCCTTCTATTCCCAAACCCTCTCCTCATGCAGCGGGCTTTCAAGGATGCTTCAGATATCCAGAAGTATGGCGGAAAATGAAACAAAAGTGAGTGCCACAATATTTTGATTTGTTTCTATCCCAGTGGAAGAATAGATGTAACTAACAATTCTGTAGAAATAAAAACGAATCTGCTTTTCAAACATCACCTATCTCTTCACTCCCAACTGAACCACTCTCCACCCATTTCCACTTATAACAAGCAACCATATTTGTTTGTAGAGCAACAGACAGAAAATTAATGTAGTCAGCCATTCACTTTCCAATTAATTTAGTGAAGCAGCAACCGAATAATCCAATTCTATCAAGTCAGAACATGAAAATGTCAGCTGCATAACACTTAGTAGAAATCAGAGGAGGAGGAAGAGAAGTAACTAGCATCTCTAAATACCTTCTATGGCAGGCATTTTGCTAGGCACCCACTCTTTTACTTTCATCCTTACAAGACCCTCACAAGGATGGAATTATTATTTCTATTTTACATAAACTCTCTTTACATAGAAAATTTAAATGACTTCCCAAAGATCACAGAACAAGTATGTAGCAACGCTGGGATGGAATCCAATGTCTCTATGACTCCTTATGTTAAAGTGAAAATGAATAAATGATAAAAATTATGACACTTTATGATAATTAAAGATTATATGAGGGTCTATCCTTGCTAGTTTTAATAATTCTGTTTATTTTTGTTTCAACTTCTCTTTGCCATTATCTTATGGTTATCTAAGATATAGTCATTTACTTCAGAAACAATTCCTTCCCCTTGCTTCGTCTTCATCCTTTCCTTCCTTCACTATCAGATTTATATCTCCCAAAGATTCAGGCAGATAAGATGACAAAGACTATGATTTAATGGGAATTAATGAATTGTGTTTAATTCAAAATTGATTCTGAATACAGATTGTTCACATTTTATAGATACTTCTTATATGCACTTCTGATTGGAATAACTTTACAGAGGATTAAGGTCCAATAAAATCCCACACGATGTACAGTGTATGTGTCAGACATCTAAAAATTCTTGAGAAAGCAATTACACTGAGTGCTATCTAATAATAAACCAAATGGACAGCTATGATACAAACTGCATTTCCTTACAACTCTACCCCCACCTGACTCTGCATTTCAATCTTTGCTAACTCTCTGCAAAAGAACAGATGTTCTGCTTTGGGTTGAGAAATCAACAGTTACCATTCATATGTTCCAGAAATTCAAGGGCCTAGTGCTGCTGTTTTAAGGATGCTAATTAATTCTAACCCTTATGCTCCAACGTTCTTGTGGTTTCAATCACTTGCAATCTCACAGGACCTCAGTCCCCACTATCTCCTTTGAAAGTCTATGGGGAAAAGCAACTAGGAGGTATATACTTCACTAACCTAGGGGGAGAAAAGAATTACTCTAGTATGCTCTAATTTTGTTTATTTATTTTATCATTATCATTGCTGTCCTCTTTATTTTATTGATTTGAACAGATAGGCACAGTCCAGCTGACAAATATAATTGAAACAATGCCTAGAGATGCCTTTTGGTCATATTTTTTCATTTGTTTACCATTCCAACACAGACTAATTTTGGACGCAGGATGGAAAGAGCTATTTCTGAATTCATTCCTGTTTTTGTTTGTGTGTGTGTTTGTGTTTGGATCTAGTGTTGATTGTGCATAATGCTCAGCTAGGAGCATGTTAAAAATGCAGGTTTCTGGGCTCAAAGCCTACAGATTAGTAGATCTGGGAAGGTATTGGTATATCTCAGTTTTTTAATAAACACCTTCTTCTTAAGCAGATAGTCCAAGGACCTCAGGAAATGCATGCATGCTCTTTAGCACAGATGTTAACAATCTGAATAACCTTTGCCCAAGATGAGATAGCTCGAGCAGAAATGGTCCTGTAGGTCAAGTATGGTGTAAAGACCTCATTTCATTTATATTAATAAACACTGCTCTGCTCCCCAGCCAGACAGATATCTTTCACACCAGGGTTTCCATGGTCACCTGAAGTTTACATAGCCTGGGGTGATGACAATCACTGGGACAGGGCCCAGGGATTTGCTTGTTTAACAAGAACCCCAGGTGACTCTTATGCATTTACCTAGGGGAAAAAAATAATTTAAAATGTGCTGACTTTGTATATTTCTCATAGTATTATATTGCTTCCCTACCTGTAGCATTGATTTGAACAGGTAGGCACAGCTCAGCTAACAAATATAATTTGATATAATTGAAATAGCAGTTTGATAAGCTGTTAGGTACCACCAAAGCAGGTATATACCCAGTGAAAGAATATCAGCTGGAGAGTCAGCCAGACCTGGGCTGGAATCCAAATTTTTTCATCTGTAATTGTCTGATTTGACTAAGTTTCTTAACCTTAAGGAAGTCTCCTTTTTTTTAATTAATTAATTTATTTATTTTACTTTTCATGCAAGCTATAGCTGGCATTTCCCCCCATGTTATCCCTCCCCACCTTCCCCTCCCTCCCCTCCTCCCCCCGCTGTCTCTCCCCTACCTCCCACCAACTGTCCCCAGTGTGTGATCCTCCTCTCCCTGAGTCCACGTGTTCTTATTGTTCAACACCCACCTATGAGTGAGAACATTGGGTGTTTGATTTTCTGTTCTTGTGTCAGCTTGCTGAGAATGATGGTTTCCAGATTCATCCAAGTCCCTACAAAGGACGACGAAGTCTCTTAATCTCTCTGAGCTTTATTTCTCTCAACTTTAAATTTGGAGTAATAGTATTACCCTTCAAAATATTGTGAGATGTCCACAACTAACATCTTACTGAACAGGGAAAGGTTGATAACTTTTCCTCTAAGAACTGGAACAAGACAAGGATTTCCACTTTCTCGTGACTTTCTTATTCAACATAATACTGGAAGTCCTAGCCAGAGCAATTAGAAAAAGGAAGAAATAAAGAGC